CGCAGGGATCCACGTGAGCACGCGCCGCGGAACAGCCCGTGCGACAAGACGCCGCACCACCTTTTCTTCTGCATCGCGTGTTCGGCGCTCCGCGCCTCTTTCCCTTTTCCCTCCCCATAGAAGAGTCTTTCGTCCATAGCATCAATTGAACCCGGCTGCGAAGCCTACTCTTCCTGATCGTGACATGGCCGACCCCAGCGCCACACGTGGCTGCGCGACTCCCAAGGCGCCGTGCCACCAGACACATTGTCCCGCCTTTTAAAACTTCGTCAATATCCTGCAACTGCTGTGGCGTGGCGCCTGGGGAGTCGCTGAGCCACTGTGGCGAGCGATCGGACCGGGGCCCGTGCACTGGACCAACGGTTGGAGAAAAAGCTGCACGTGGGAATGGGTGCAACGCACCCAATCCCTCCTTTGTACTCTTCACCTTTAGATAGTTGGAGGCTCCGCAGGGGGTGTCTCCTATAACAAATCCTGTCAAACGTACCGGTAGTAACATAGCCGCATAGCGGCCGGCCTGCATTTTTCTTATCTGCCATCTTTAGCAGTGCTTCAAGGCACCCTGTACCACTACCACCGAGAACCGGCCCGCCAGTTAGGGGCCTCGGGATGCGGCTTGTTATGCATGTGCTTAAGGTCGACACTGGTCGGCTGATGGGCTTGGCTTGCTAGCTATCGTGACAAGTAGTTGGTGGGCTAGACCCTGTATCTAGAACATCTGGTAGTCGCCAGCACGTATGATGCCCCTAGGGAGGCCAGAGTGAGGCAGCACTCGCTACAGACGTTAAATACACCTACCTACCTACCTACCTTTAGATAGTCATATCAACCTGGTGCTGATCGCAGCTCTGCCTCTTTGCTCTACGTGATCTCTAACACACTATAAAATTCAATTTATATGAAAGTATTCGCGGACAGCCCGTTAGGGTTCGGTGGGAAAGGCTTCTAATTGCAATGCAAAATATCTAAAAGCTGTCCCGTATCCTAATTACAAAAGAGGGTCGTAAAACGACCCTCTGCTCCCTTTTATAGAGGGAGCAGAACAGAACGCGGACGCGTTGCTCGGGACGCTCCGCGCCGAGTGCGGAGGCCACGCGGCCACGTGCACGGTCCGGTGTGTTGTCCGTCCGGCTCCATACTAGAGCCGGATCTAGAGCGTGAATTCTTCCGGACCAAAGTTTTCCTAGCCTTGGACGCCAGTTCCTGTGCGACCACGAGGTGCCCTTCCAACAGAAAGGCTTCTAGCTATTAATGCAACCGGCTACTTCCTATGCTAAATACATCCAATATGGGGAAAAAAGAAGTAAAGAAAGATATACTAAGTCGAGTTGGGGGCTCCTGAAGTATTCTTCGCATAGGGCTTGTGGAATCTCCTAGAACCAATGAGAAGTATAGTCGGTCTTGGAACAGAGGTTTCTAGCAGGTTCTAGACAACTCTTTGGCGGTATAGCCGCTAGAGGGCCCAGCCCGTTAAAGAAGGGAGCTCAGGGGCCATTTCGGGTAGTGCTGTCGTCAATACCGAGGCGGTTCAGTTGTTAATTGTGCTGCCGAGGAGGCCGAAGATATCCGCCCCCGTTTCTGCCACTTAGATTAGCTAGGAAAATCTGATTTTCATGTATTTTGTAAGGTGGCGGCTGAGTTGTTCCTGCAGATTCTTCCCTACGAGTAAGTCGGAGTACCCCCTGTCGGCCACCCCCCCTTCCGGCCACCTCAAACAGGCCCATTGCCTCAAATATGGCCACGTCTTCAACCCGCCGTAAATCCCTCAATTTTGATCCGTTTTCCATACTCTTTACTGCAATCCAATGCTCATATGCCAGAGAAACAGTATACCGAAGAAGACGTCGAACGGGCCGTCGCGGCCGTACAGGCAAAGGCCCCTAATCTCGCGGGCCGCCCGACTTTGGGGCATACCGAGTGTCA